CGATAAAAGTGAAACTCGTATTATCATGTAGAAAATAATCACTTGATTTATATATATATATATATATATATATATATATATACAGTAAATGTCCTTTAAAATCGTACATTAAGCTTACTAGATTTTTATTTGAAAACTGTTGATATAGTGACTAAATCAAATTTTGAAATAAAATATATATATATACATTAATATATCACGATTACATATTTAATGGAATTTACCATCAAAGTTTTATTAAATATATTTTTAGTATCTGAAACACAATTAAATATCCATTAGAATAAGAATAATATTAAGTACATTTGTGTTTAAAAATGATGTATCAAATAATATACTTCGATTTGATATTTAAATTAAATACAATTTTTCAACTCAAACTAATCGTTGATTAGGAACGTTAAAAAATTCACAATATTAGCAAAATAAATGTATTTTTATACATTTATTATATATATATATTTTTAATTATCGGTATATACTTTAAAGTATTATTAATTAATCGATAAAAATATATATTATAATCTAAAAACACGGATTATAAAATTAACGTACCGTCCTCTTCGAAATCAAACAATAAACTGACTAATTTATCTTCTATGAAAGTCAATTAAAATTTCTTCATTGATTCTTATTTATACGACTTTACGAAAGAAATAAAATAATAACAAACTACAAAGGGTTTATATATGTTACATACTATTTGACATATTTTGATATATTTCTTGTTTACAATTGTTAACCCACCTTATATATAAATCATTTGATATGTAAATCATATTGATGAGGGTTGAAAAAGAGAAAATTAAATAAAAGAAATAAAAAAAGGAGATCACATCTTAGCGATTATCTTTGAACAAAATTTGTATTTACCTGAATCTCAACTAATCCGAATGATGTTATATATATATATATATATATATAGCGAGGTCATTATAAAGCTGCATGTATGAAACGAGTAAAAGAAGCACACAAACAGAAGGCGCACACATGCGAGAGCTTTACTTGGTTGAACGCGCAGATGCGTCATCTTTCGCGTTACATGTGACTTCCAGGTGCACGTTCGTTAGATTCTCTCTCTCTCTCTCTTTCTCTTTTTCTTTCTATCTCATACTCTCCTCTTTCTCATTCTTTTTCATAGGGCTTTAGGTTACCGATGACGAAGAGAAAATATCCTAGCGAAATTAGGAAGAAAATATCGATCGTGTTTCTCGCCCTTCTTTGCCACGTACACGAAACTCAAGAGATATTCGAAAGGTTCCCAACACACACACACACACATATACATATACATATACAGCAAAGACAGACAAACAGATATACAAGTTTTACGTGTAAGTTTTCGATGACTCATACAAAAGAGGTCGATATCTTTTATCGTATGTAATAATATATAAATAAAAGAGTTATCATTTTCTTATCGGATGCAACAAGAAAAACACCTTTACCGTTAGTTTTCTAAGAACGTATAGAAAGATAATCAGTTTGAAGACAACTGACTAATCATTTTGCAATTTCAAATGATCTATGAAATCATCCGTGTGATCCGTTTTTTTTCTTTTTTTTTTTTTTTCGTTACGTTAAGTTTCCTGGAACATGATCGTTGGGTATTTATCATCTTAGGTATTTTCTCGATCAATCAATCTTTTCTTTTCTTTTCTTTTCTTTCCTACTTTTATGATTTTGATTTTTTTTTTCATGTTTTTTTTTCCAATTCTTTTCAAATCATTTTTAATCCTTTTCTAACAACTAAGTAAGTAGGTCATAAGTATTATTTTCTTCGACGTAAGAACTTCTTCTTTAGATTCTCGTTCTTCGACTAGCGTAACAGTGCAAATTTACGGAGCTGATTAGCGAAGAGGAATAAAGATGCAAAAAAATCGTCGAAGCGAAAAGTTATAACGCGTGTCTTTTACTAGTTATGATTTATTTTCTAAAAAGAATTCTTATATATATATATATGTGTGTTATAGGAATAATTTATTTGATATCTTTTCCGTTTCTTTTTTTCTTCCTCCCAACTTGTTGTTCGATAATTCTGTTTCTTTTCTTTGTTATATCATTATAAATGTAAATAAAATAATTATAAAATAGATCTTTAAAGACAACGTTGCATATAATTCCCGTTACACGATTTCTTTCTAATTAAAACAAAATAAATCTTGATCTTCTGCAACAAGTATGAATAAATATAGAAATTATAGCTGTAACTTTGAAGTTATTTTCAACTAAATAATATATATATATATATAATTTAATTATGAGAACATAAATTAAATTATATTTTATTACAATATATTAAATATAATGAAGATGATATATTATTCTGAACGGAATACAAAATTAAATAACCTGTTATTAATCATTTTATATAAACAACTAGTTCTTTCTCTCGATATTATTTTATTGTTATAAAGATAAATATGATATTGTTCATAGATCTTTTCCTTGGTATATGATTTTTTTTTTTCTAACTAGAAAATATAAATCCTTAAATAGAACAAGTATTGATAAACCAAAACTATAGAGTCATACCTAAAGCTTTGTTAAACTATGCAAATATAAATTTAGAACGAATACACAGTTTGATGACCTATCGCATTTATTAATAAACTTTCTTACTCTTTAACCAACTCGATATATCTTTTTTTATTACCATAAAAGTGAATACGATACTTTATTCTAGATTGCGTGTCTTCACCTCGTTAAAATTTCTTTCCAACTAGATAATAAATATTTATACACAATTATATATATATATATATATATAATTAATATAATCAAAATAGGATAAAAACTAGCTTAATATCTATACTAATGATAGTAAATACAACTTATTTTAAACTAGATATTATCATTTCAGAAAGTTAAAACATTGAAAAATGGAATTCAAATGAAGATTCAAATATTACGAATAAATGCATTTGAGTTGGATGACCTATCGCGTATATTTAATAATTGTTTTTTTTTTTTAATAAACTCACAATACTTTTTTTGTATTAGTAAAAGTGTAAATATTAATATATATATATATATCTCGGAAACACATATTTTCTCCTTGTTATGATTGTTTTATTTTCTAACTAAAAAATAAATCCATCTATACGAAGAATACAAAACAAACTGTGAAATTAAATCCATAACTTGAAATTTCTTTCAATTCAATAATCTTTTTTATTTTTTTCAAAAAGTTTAAAGCAACTCAAATGAAAATGAACAAAAAAGAAAATATCTTTCGAACACGAATTCACACAAACACAATGAATTAAATTTAATGATCCATCACATATATTTGATAATTCACATATGTTCTATTACTACCAACACGTAAATACAACATTTATTCGAGAATGCTTTTAGAACAAATCTAATATTTCGGGGAGGGGGAGGGTTATACTTTATAAAAAAAAAAAAAAAGAAAGAAATAAAAGGAGAATCATTAAAGCAGCTGGTCCAGGATAAAAGTGCATCGCGTTTCGCTAAAGTCCGAACGAAAAGTCATCGCACTCGCCTTGACATCGATCGCATTTTAAAGCCACCACGTACGTGCGTAGTATCGCGAGAGATCTCCATACAAGAAACCTTCTCATTGGAGAAACGAAGAAAGAGAAAAAGAGTAAAAGAGAGAAAGAAGACATAGTGGAAAAGAAACTGGCAAACTCAGAAAAGGGAAGGACGATGCAAGGATGTCGAATGAAAAAGAGACTTGCAGACAATAAGAAAGAATCAAGTAGAGAAAGAGACAGTAAAACAATCAAAAAGAGAGAGAGAGAGTGAGAGAATAAGACAAAATATGTAAGTGAATAAGAGAGAGAGAGAGATAATAAAAGGGTTAGAAAGAGAGGAAGAAAAATAATAAGATAGAAAAAGAAAGAGAGAAAATACAAGAGCAAAAAAAAGAGAGAGAGAGAGAGAGAAGGAATAAAAGAGACTAAAAGAATAAGGAAAGAAAGAAAGAAATAGAGGGAGATGGAAGAGGATACGTCGAAGGGCGAGGACGCAAAGAAGGGCAGGAAAGCAGCTGGTGGCGTTGCTCGCTTTTACGATGCACACGATGCCGCGATGATGCTCGATCGAAACGATGCTCTGTCAAAAATCGTTACTTGCCCCCCGCATTCCTCCTACGCTCTTTCTCATTCTCTTTCTCTTTCTCTTATTCCTTCCCCTTCTACCCCGACATCCTTCCTCGCCCTTTCCTATTAAATTCTCTCTCTCTCTCTCTCTCTCTCTCTCTCTCTCTCTCTCTCTCTCTATCTATCTTTCTCTTTCTCATAAGCGCTCCTTTATTTCATCTCTTTTTCTCTTTAAATGTATTCCATCCCCTGATGGAAAACAAGACAAAAAAAACAAAATAATCCTTGCACGTTCACAAGAAGAAAAAAGGAAGTCTTTAACTTTGTTAGATTCTAGGAGAATTTTAAAGAGAAGCTACAACTTGGTGTGGGAGATGCTAAAGAGAGAAAGAGAGAGAGAGACAGAAAGAGAGGGAGAGAGAGAAATGGAAAGAATCCTTTTCGCGAGCGTCGTGACACACGGGGGATTGGCAGGATGATCGTATATGCCAGAGAGGGTCAAGGGCCGTAAACAGTCCGTTAGGCCCCCCCATGTAAGGCCTTGAAAGGGGAGAATGAGTGAAAAGGCAAAACAGAAAAATAAAGTATACGTAAGGAAAAAATAAAGAAAGAGAAAGAGAGAGAGAGAGAGAGAGAAAGATTTGAATAAAAACAAACGAGTTAAATGAAAGTGATGAAAAGAAATAAATAAATAAAATAAGGGTTAAATAATATGAAATATCGAAAGAGAGGCTAGGAATCGATTTAAATAATATCGTATTTAGAGAAGGTAATATAATATCTTCTCTCTTTCTCTCTCTCTCTCTCCTCATCTCGTTGTATATTTGAGGATCCTGTATGTACGTCTCTCTCTCTCTCTCTTTCTCTCTCTCTCTGTCGTCTATATATCTACAAATAAAAAGAAAAAAAAAACTCTCTTGTACTCACTTCATATTTGCCTGGCCGGGAAGCGTGTGCTATGCCCTCGTGCAAGCGGTATTCCTGCTTCTACACAGTATATCACCGATCCCATGAAAACACGCGAGATTCGGACAAGACTTGCGGTAGTTCGACATAAATAACGCGCGGCACTAACACCACCGTGACACCCAGCTACTGCACATCTGGCCGGCCATATTGCCGACTCTCGATTCGTCCTTACTCCTACCACCACCGCCGCCTTCGTTACTACGCCTATGACGTGCGCACGTATAGATGGAAGAACTTACTTCGAACAAATAGTTCCGTCAACTAGATGGCGTTACTTCGCGTATCCTTATTCTCTCATTGGTCCGTTCTTATTATTCGAAGCTCTTTGAATTCTTATCGTTTATTGGTTTATATCTTTATCAGATTAGATATTTCTTATTTACTGATCTATTAAGTAATAGATTAGATTATATTTATTTGTTTGTTTTTTCTTTTTAACTTTTTAACTATATTAACTTTCGAGATTATTTAGTTGATTTTCAGAATATAATAATATGACGAGTTTCCGGCGTAGGAAGATTTACTGAATTCATTAGTAATGCTCTAATTAATCGCGTTTCATACACGCTTATTCAACCCGAAGTACATTGACTGTAATTTTGTCCTTATTTAAAAAAAAAAATATATTAAAACAATACCCAACAACTAAAAATACCGCGTATACTGTAACAAGAATCCTTTGTTTGTATGTATAATATATAAATAGATATAATAACAAAAAGTAATTATTATGTATTAATTATAAATAAAATATTCAGATTATGTGTATTCTTTCAATTTTTATTCAAAAATAGATACACTATTTTCACAGTAAGCGTTCCAATTTTATAATACTTTATAGTATAATAATCAGTTAAATCTTATGATAAATAGTTAGATCTTAGAGATAAATAATATTATAGAAAACATTTGTATACCTACAATAAAAGTATTTTATCCTAATCCTGCAGGTAGAATTTAAGCCGAAATAAAACCATTAATCTTTTTCCCTAAGTACTTGAATTTAGGAGGGAAACATTTGAAAAAAGAAAAAAGGCAAAAGAACTCGTGAAAGTTATTGGTTATATGAGAAACTCGATTAGATAAATAGTTGCTTAAATCTATATTATCGACATTGCAAATAATATTAATCGTGTGCAAAGTTCTGTAATGAAAAGATTCTTTAATTTGCCGTAAGGAGGTGTTAGTAACGCACTGATCAAGGTACGCGATATACACGCCGTGTATTCAGATTATTCCACGAAAATATATGTATTTCACCGAGAGTGAATAACCCTGGATCGAGGAAGTGATCGGTAGGAGTTTAAGGATCTTGGAAGGAATATTTTAAACTATAACATTCCTCTTGAGGAGGAAACTAAAGTCTAACTTTCGTTAATTTTCTACGCGAGTGTACCTCTATCTTGGATCTAAAACGCCATTTTGTGAGCACGCATCGCGACGTAAACATCAAAACTTTCTAATCCTATTTATTTCAACGTTAAGAGGATTGATCGTTGATCTATGAAAAAAATTTAATACAAACTTTGTTCGATCGTTTGCAATTTATAATCGTTAGAAAAGTTAACGTTTTTTCATTCCTTGCGTAAAGACGTTTGGCGCCAAATCCGGCAGAACGCACCTAGCGTGTTAACAGGCCCACAAACAGCTGTCCCGTTTCTCGCCGATTTTCACGATATCTCAGATCGGTGCTTGATTTTAAGATATCGAGGAAATTCCTTGCACCAGGTAGATCCTTTTTCTAAGATTTTCTTTTTTATTCATTTATTTTTTCCCAAATATTTTCAACCTGTTCCATAACCGTTCTTTTCTCATATAATGCGCCTTATGTTTTGTCACTTGCTCTACATTTTAAAACGAACGTCGGTTACAATTCTTACCTCCCCTTAATTTCAAATTAGTCACGAATTCCAATGACGAAATATAATGTAAAATAATTTCTTGGATTTTATATTTTGTCAATTGAATTCATAAAAAAAGAAAAGAAAGAATTATAATTATTTACAAGTTATTATATAAATTAGTTTATCTATAAATAATGTCCGATCGATTTGATTGAAAGGTGTTAGAAATTTTATGCTCCAACAAGTGTGTATTATTATTTGCTTGTCTCTAATATTTGTGCAGTATTATGTGCTTATGGATAATCTTATCCACTATAAACACTTGGATAATAGTGTAAGTCAATGTTTAGTTTTGTATTTGTAATCAATTTATTTACATTTCAGTCTTACTCCTCCACTTGTGTATCCTTCAAAGAGAAACGTATCGACATGTAGAAAAGAACTTTATAAGCGTATGGTTAAATCAAGTGAACGGCTAATATTTAAAAATTTTAAAAATGTGATATTAACCAAGATTAATGGTTGAAGTAAAATATAAGGAATGGTATTCAATTGTATTCTCCCTGGATGTCAGATAAGCTGAAAAATGTCTGGTGATTCAGGATGGAGTGCTGTTATCCATCATCCTTCAGAATTAGAATTACAGAATTGGAATTGGGAAGAAAACGATGGAGAACAGGAAAGAGAACTTCCTTCGACAGTTGATATGGATGCCATAAAAGGTGGAGGTAGCTGGGATCCTGCTAATGGAACTAATGGTACTATTTAATATTACATTTTATTTTTATTAATTTTGTGTACTAGAAATACATTATTATAATATCAAATGCGAATATTTTTTTTTCATATTATATATATATATATATATATATATTATCGTACATAGGAACTGATTCTATTGATTCCGAAGAAGATTCTGATTCTGACGAAGAAAGTTCTGGTGGAACCGAAGGCAGCTGTTCTTATTCAGATTCAAATTCAGAATCCGACGACGAAAGTAGCGAAGAGGAAGAAGGGGAAGATACCGGATCTAATTCAGATTGTTCGTCTGAACATAGCGAGCAAACATTTTCAATCCAAGAAGCTAATTTTGAATCGGTATGCATTATAATGTGTGTTTCTGCGAAAGTATGGTAATGTAGGAAATATTAGCCAAATAAATAATGAGTATTAAGTATTCGAATTCCAATGGTCTTTAGAAAAATATTATTGACAATTGCACATTCGATTTCAATATCATGGCTTTTTTCAATAAAAAAAATCTGAATTACATTGCCTGACATTCGAATGGTTATAACACAGATTTATATATTTATTACTTGTAATTATAATAGTATGAAAAACATTAATTGTTTAGGGAGCACTTAAATTAAAGATCAGCATGAAGGGTCCAAAAAAGGAAGATATGGATAAAAGTAAACATGATAAAAATCGAAGAAATATGACTAAAAAGATTAAAGCAACAAATCGCGGAGTAAAAGTAAGTTTTATAAGATTATTTAATGCAACACATTATTTTATTCATTGAAAATTATATGATTACAATGACATTATTTTGTATGATTAGTCTTCAGAATGTAGCAGCGATGACTCTGATTCATTAACAAGTCAGAATTTACAACAAACGCATCAAGCGACTATTCACCAATCGCAGCAACAGCAACAACAACATCAGCCACTTCAAGAAATAAATCAAGAAGACTTGGCAGCTATTTTACCGGATCAAGAACACGAAGATGCTCCGTTTGACGGATTTGAGGACTCTGAAAGTGGTCGTTTGGTATCTAAAGCTATTGAACGTATGTCATTAGGAGCGGACTCAGACAATAGTGATAATGGTGATCAAAATCCTATACCTGTGTATAGTTCGTCGCTTTTACAACAATTTGTTGAAAAAACGGCACTTTTGTCGGAACCTCGAAAAAGACGTAGCAAGTTAGGTAAGAAACTTAACGATACTGAATATCCTTGCGTATCAAATGTATCACCGGATTCAGGCATTCAATCTGTAGATAATAGTCCTTTGCATTTAGCAATTAGTCCAGTAAGTCCGCCAGTTCCCACGCAATCTCCTGTACAACCTGTTGTTCCAAAACCAGCCGTTAACGTGGATAGAGTTTTATATCCACCTAAAAGAAAACCAGGTAGACCTGCAAAAGCAGTATCCACTCAACCCCGTGGCCCAGGAAGGCCCAGATTAAAACCAGAAGTTACTGAGAAGATAGAAAAAGTTGAGAAAAATGAAAAAAGAAATACGCAATTGCAACCAAAGGTTGTAAAGAAAGAATTACCTACCGGAAAGAGGGGTAAAATTAAACAACCTTTGCCAAAATCAACATCAACAACAACTCAACAGGATACATCTGTAGTTAAAAAAGTTAAAGATAAGAAGCCTTTCCAAAATAAACGGTCTAGTACAGTGAAAGTTTTACAGGAGAAAGCGAGTAAGCGAGTAAACGAAAAAGCATCACCAGCTAGAGTTAAGTGCCTAAACAGAACGGTAGCGAATAAAGCTATACGAGAAACGACACAATGTAATAGCAAAGTTTGTAAGAAATTAAGACAAGAAAAACCTAATGTATCTAATAAAAGTATGGTCCCGGTAACACGTCAAAAACAATCTTCGTGCGACCGTAATGCAAGCGAACAAAAACCTGTAAATCCTAATAAAAGATGTTCGAAAGAAAATAGAAATAATGTGGGTACAACAACCAGAAAGCAAAGCTCGTTAAAGAAACCCATTCCGCAAACTACACGACGCGTTTTAAAAGAAAATAAATGTAATAAGAAGAGTAATTCAACGTTTGAAACCAATGGAGTAAGTGTCCAAACATTAATATCCTTACCCATTGGAGAATTAAAGACGGAAAACGTAGAAAATGTATCTAATAAATGTGACAAAGCGACACAACCGATACATAGTCATTGTCACAAACATCATCATCATAAACATCGCCGACGATTGTTAACGCCACCAAAACATCCAATTCGTGTCGATCCGTGTATTGTACAAGAATTAGAAAAGCTAATCGAAGAATTTAGTAGATCTTGTAGTTTAGGAAGAAATAATAATAATTCTAATCATACGGAGTTACCACAAATTTTTCGAGTAAAAAAGCTTACGAAGAAGAGAAAATGTGATTTAAATTCGAATGACGATCAGAAGGTAAAAAGGCGCTTGAAAAAAGATAAGGTACTTTCGAATTCAGATTCAAAGAGCAGTATAAATACGAGTACAAATTCTAATCCAAATGAACAAAGATTACCATTAAAAAAAAGACATTATCATGTGTCTAGTCCTCATAGCTCCCAGAGTTCAAATGCTAGTTGTACCGATACTAATTTGAACGAATCTAATTCGACTGAAAACCATATAGAGGAAGCAATCGAAGCTACTATTAATAGGTATGGTGGAAGTTCAGCATCTTCTGTTCACGAAGAAAATGTCGTAAATACACCTAAAAAGAAACTTAAAGATAATGAAAATGCAGTACCTGAAAAACAAGGAAACAACGCCAGTGAATCTTTAGAAGATAAACCTTTAAATCAATTAGAAGTACAACCTCGAAGAAAGAAGAAGATCGTAAAAGATCTTAGAGTTACGGTTACAAAATTATCCTCTGAAAATCATGGATTATTGGATAAAGTTGATAAATCTGAGAAATCTACCAACGAGAAAAATGTCAAAAATCATGCAGATAAATCGAGTAAATCAGAAAAAATGCTTGCAGACAAAGTTGTAAAATCTGATAAAAATCAAGCGGATAAAGTAGAAAAAGTTGATCCTACGATTGAAAATGAACATTTAGAAAAAGATATAAAAGTTGATGCAGAGGAAAATTTAACTGATAATAGTAACATACAAATAGGTGGACTTGATAAAAAGATCAAATCAGATAATGCGTTAAACGTTCCAAATCCAGTAAATCCTTCTGCAGCATTGCTCCTTACGAAGAAAAAAATTCGAAGGCGTAAAACGATCAATCGTACAGGCTTTCCAACATTAAAAAAAAAGAAAAAGAAAGTACCTCCTCCTCCTACTGAGACAAGTGTAATTAAAAAGGGAACTGTTGTTCCTGGAAATAATGTAATACCTAAGGATCAAGATCGTATAGAAGAAGATATCCAAGAAAGTAAGCTAGATAGTAAAGTTGCCTTGTCAAGTGACAAAATTTCAAACGACGCTCCGATTGAAGATGACGTTAAACTCAAAAATGGAAATAAATCACAAAATCAAATAGAAATAAAAGATTTTGAAGATTCTAATTCGGGACGCAATATGACATTAAGTCATAGTGGTTCTGATGAGATATTAGATTCTTGTCCAGGACAATTGAGAGTACGTAAAGACCTTGTTGAATCTGACAGTAGTACTCCTTCTGATAAAATATACCCAGTTAAGTTTGAGAAACTTCAAGATTGTAGAATTTATGATGAGAATGCATCGTTAGAAGAATCTCTTGAAAGATATACTCTTCATCAAAGAATAGCTGAACTTAATGAGGAGAATTTAAAGAAGTTAGAACGTGTGAGTGCTCAAGACATTGTGAAAATGGAGTTGGCTGGAGCTGTTTGTTTTAATAATCTTCATAGAAAGAGAAGAGGATCGGTTAGTCCATGTAATTTAACATTGAGAAATGCGAAACGTCTACGAGGTACAGGCTATGATACAGAAAGCGATGCTCCTCTTCTTGGCAGCGATGTAGCTAGTGATGAACACGAAACTGGAAAACAATTGAGTATACCACACACTAGGAAGCAACAATCCAGGTGGAAACAACGTTATTTGCAAGCTGGAATTTTTTCTGGATATGCCAAGGAAGATGATTCAAAGAAAATCTCAAATGCTGAAACTAATTCTGGGAAGAATAAATTGTTATGTGATACAAACGATCATTCGTCTGCGTTAGTACCAACTTCATATCAATGCGGTAAACTTTTACGTCAACGAAAAATGCCATTTCAAATGCCTTATGATATATGGTGGATACAAACTCATCCAAGAGTACAAGATAGAGATTATGTGCCATCTTGGAATTACAAGTAAGTGAAGTATTTTATTTAAATAATATTTAAAGTATTCATTTGTTTGTTTTATTATTTATATATACATTGGGGATTGCAGAAAAATAAAAACGAATGTTTATTACGATGTTAAACCGACAACATTGTACGAGCCGCAATCCTGCGAATGTAAACCAGAAAGTGGTTGTGGGGATGATTGTATCAATCGTATGGTATTTAGCGAATGTTCGCCGCAATTCTGTCCTTGTGGTGAAAAATGTCAAAATCAAAAAATACAAAAACATGAATGGGCACCAGGACTTCAAAGGTTTATGACCGAAAACAAAGGTTGGGGCGTAAAAACTCATCAATTCATTAAGTCCGGAGATTTTATTTTAGAATACGTTGGTGAAGTTGTTTCAGAACGAGAATTTAAATCTAGAATGGCAACAAGGTAATCTATTTTTCTTGATATATTGTCCAACATTAGAGCCTTGCTTCAATGTCTTAAAAAGAAAATCATTTTTCTTGTCCTGTTATTCATTTAGATATGCCGACGATATACACCATTATTGTTTACATTTGGACGGAGGTTTGGTAATAGATGGTCACCGTATGGGTGGTAATGGCAGGTTTGTTAATCATTCGTGTGAACCTAATTGCGAAATGCAAAAATGGAGTGTACATGGACTACCGCGAATGGCTTTATTTGCGTCCAGAGATATAGAACCCGATGAAGAACTAACATACGATTACAATTTTGCACTCTTTAATCCATCGGAAGGTCAACAGTGTAAATGTGGTAGTAGTGCGTGTAGAGGAGTTATAGGTAAATAATAAATAATATTTCTAATCAAGATATATAAACTCATCATGTATATCTTCGTCTAATTTTGTTTGTTATTTTTTCAGGAGGAAAAAGTCAAAGAGTGTCAAGAACTATTACCTCGATTCCTTCGCAAATAGAACCAACGGAAAGAAGATCAGTTGGTAGGCCACGTAAAAATGTTCGTAAATCCAACACGATACAATTCACTAATTCTAAGGGAATTTGTAAATCGCGTAAAGTAGGCGATTCTAGTCTTGGTAATGCACCCATGCTTAAACCAATGTCTCACCAGCAACGTTGTTTCGCCCAGCAACATCATTGCTTTCTGTTAAGAAACTTAGAGAAAGTAAAACGACTTAAAGCATTACTTAATCAAATGCAAGTACAAAATGGTAAAACAAAATTTAGTAATACGAATAATATAAAGGACAAAAATTCTGGCGATTCTAAGACGCAATCGGACGCATTCTATTCACAATTAACGGCATTGACAAATACCAATATAAGAACAGTACGTACAAGAAGACTTGCACAAGCGCAGGATGATCCAGAAGTGCATAAGACTGCCAAATTAGCTAAGGTTTATGATTGTTTTGTACATTAAAATGCGTTTATATTATTAATTATACTTATACTTATAATTTGTACATTTCTTTTTCTAGGTGCTAAAAGATTTATACTCTATAGTAGCTAATGCTAATGACGAAAATAACCAATTATTGTGCGCACCATTCGTGAATTTACCAGCTAAAAGAAAATTACCTGATTATTATGAAAAAATATCAGACCCTATAGATTTGAGTATGATAGATCAGTGTATTGGTACTGGTCATTACAAAACCGCCGAACAATTTGATCAAGACATGATAAGACTTTTTGATAATAACGTAAGGTTCTTCGGCAGAACATCCGAAGTTGGAATAGCAGCTGCTAGACTTAGAAAATTGTATTTGGGAAGTAAACCAGATTTTATAAAAGCTATAACGGAAGCAACAGGTTCGCCTCCTTCTCAAGGATTTTTACCTCCTCGAGGATCTTCTTCTGGAGAAGAAGATGTTATTAGATGTATATGTGGACTGCATAGGTAATTTAAAATATCAAATGTTTTAGACGATCTAATCTTGTTCACATTTATTTTTTCTTATAATAAAACAAATTGATTTTATATTTAGGGACGAGGGCCTAATGATACAATGCGAACGATGTCTTGTTTGGCAACACTGTGACTGTGTCAAAGCTGACGTAAATGTTGAATCTTATTTGTGCGAAAGGTGTTTGCCAAGACCAGTTGATTTAGAGATACCGCTGGAAGGTGAGGAAGAAGAAGAAGGCAAGACACATTTTGTAACATTGTTACGAGGAGATTTACAACTTAGACAAGGAGATACGGTATATGTATTAAGAGATACACCCGAAAAGCATACGTATAAAACTATTCAAAAACCAGATTATGAACAGATGGATATCTTCAGAATTGAAAGACTTTGGAAAAATACAGAGTAAGTATCTACAAAATATTGAACACGAATAAAACAAAACAAAAGCTTACAAGACATTGATAATAATTAAATTATCTTATAGGGGAGAAAGATTTGTGTTTGGTCATCATTATTTAAGACCTCATGAAACTTATCATGAACCAACTCGCAAATTTTATGAAAACGAAGTAGTATGCGCACCTTTGTACGAAGCAGTACCATGTGATCTTGTTGCTGAACGTTGTTGGGTTCTTGACCCACATACTTTTTCTAAAGGTATTACAATAACTACACTTTTTCTTATTATCATTATTTTGTTAGTTCTGGAAACGATTATTTTTTTACCAAGGGTAAGTTGCTAAACTTGCCCTCGAACCCTCCTCCTTTATCTGGGCTTGGGACCAGCTAGCTATTATCTAGGTATCTAGATATTAACTAGGCGGAGTTAGAATAATTAAACAATATCAATAATAATTATTATACAGATATTATATATATATATATTATGTATAAAAATGATTTTTGTTATTGTTTTTTATTTAATTATTTTCTTATGAATATAGGCCGACCAGTTGGATCTACACCAGAGCACACTTATGTTTGTGAGTATCGCGTTGATCGAGCTGCACGTCTTTTTACTAAAGTAGCAAGAGCCAGACATCAAGTGTGCACAAAACCTTATGCATTTGAAACATTTCCACAACGGATCAAACATTATCGCACATACTTGGTAATATATTCTAACTTTTTAATATTACAATTTATTTTAAACAATTTTAAAATACAGATTAATACAATTTAATAATAATAATTATTTTTAGCCACACAGTCTTGATGGTATTAACATTGGAAATAAAGGGAGTAAAGATAAAAAGAAAAATAATCAAGATACTGATAGTCATCAAAAAGTAGAGTCATCTGATAATACAAAAGCAAATAATAAAGAAAAAGCATCTAGCAGCAGAACTAGACGAAGATCTAGTGAAATGTTAACAATTGCACCATCTGTTACATCTTATGCTCAGGTAATAAAAAAGAAAATGGTTTGAATCCTCCCTCCTTAAATAAGCTCTCTAAAAATAAACTTTTACAGAGGGAAGAACAGAGAAAGAGACTGAATAGCATTCTGGTTAATTTGTTGCAAAAAATGCCAAATAAAAAAGATCCATTGGACTTATCATTCCTTCTGGAAAGGAATAGACGTAATCGTAAAAGACCAACCGGACTTAATCCGTGACATTGGATAATACATCAACAATAATATTGTGTTATGTGTAGGTAACAAACTCTTATTAAGAAATTCGAGAGAATAGATAAACTGGCTAATAATCTTTAAATAACTCGAAACAGCAATACGTAAATATGTCTAACTATTTTGTCCTTCTCTTAAAGAAAATATTGAAAAAGCGTTTCCTTTTTCATACAACCCGTCCATTCATGTAATCTGTATTGGAAACGTAGCCATGCATTACATTTCCTGGATATAAATTAAGCTAACTAAGAGGTTTTTATAAATATTGTTTCCTTAATAACATAAAACAATAGAAAATAATTTCACTCAATTGAAAATATTTTCTATAGTTTTATCATATTTTTATGTGAAAGACTGTATTTTCACTGGTGTGTTGGCGAATTCTTGTATAGTACTTTTTTATGAGAACTAATTTGATAATAATTGATATGGAAACGATTGGCTTTAATCTTGCCAATAATAATTCTGGCATAATCTGTTGCCAGTACATTGATATATGTATATTAACGAATAAATATTAGTTCTGATTCGAGTTTCAGTGAAGGTACGGTCGTTAATTATTTATAAAAAAAAAAAAAAAAAAATATATAATAATAATAAAAATAAAAAATAAAATCCCGGATAGTATATCGCGTACAGTTTATAACTGTTTTAACTTATTAATAATGATTTTCATATAAATACAAATTATCTGAAAATAATATACGATTTCAAATGCATATGTATAACAAGCAAAAGAAACGTGTTATTCTCTATTTGGATGTAGCAGGCTACTTTAATATTGAACAATTGTATAGAATCATTTGTAAATCCTCTCATAGTTTGATGTAGTTAAATGTACAAAGGTAATGAATTACACAAAGAAATGAGATCATATGAAGGAAGTAACGAGAATAATGAATATATAGATTAATAGAAAGAGAAAGAAGAGAGAAAGAAAAAGAGAGAGAGAGAGAATTTGTGAAAATTTATTGCACAAAATATTAATATTATATTTTTCATAAAAACTTCCAGTGTCATTTGAATCAAGTGTATAGTAGATTTTTCAATTAATAGAGCAAGTCTTACTAATGTATTTAATTTATCCATATATATATATATATACTTCTATATATATGTATATATATATATAGAAGTATATATATGTTACTATATTCAAGAGTGTTTAAACATTGCTATGAATTGTAAATAAATATACACACAGATCTATAATACGCATATGAGAGGTATCGAGTGTTTATACACAGCACATTCACACATGGCACATATAACACAAGACACACAAGACGCTAGCTGCTGCATGCACACATATACAATTTACTATTTATTGCTGAATTAAAATCTATAGCAATCATGTTACATTAATGTATTTAATATGCATACAAACTTAATATGCGTAAAATTTATTTTATATTTTAACTCTAGCGTATTACCTGATCTTAATTTTAATTATTATTAAAATAATTTTCGGCTGACGTAAGGCGAAAGTATTCGGTGCGAATTGTGTGCATTTTCTTAAAATATATATATACATAATATATATTTATAGATCGGTCGATTAACAAAATATATTAAATGTATATTTTAACATATATTGATTTCGTTTTACACTTATAATCAATGATTTTTTTTTTTTTTTTTAATTATACTTTTAGTAGGAGAATATTAAAAAAGAAATATTTATATAAGAGGAGGACTAACAAGGGTGGAGGTATTGTGGATACTAAATTAGTTTAGCGAGTGGTGATTTTATTAAATATTGAATATTTAAGAAGCTTAAAAAAAAGTCTTAATAATAACACGTAGTTATACAGACCGTTGAGCTATATTATCCATGACAGTTAATTTTTCTTTTTCTTTTTTAAAATAGTTCAAATAATATCACTCTCACAATTCTACAGTTATATAGTATAAACTATACAGTGCACTTACATGATTGTAATAGTGTTGTAACATGGATCATTGTTTGGAAATGTGTAATATCACCACATAATATGTATATTTAGGCTTTCCGGAATGCTTTCATTATTGCTACATATATATATATATAAACACAAAATAGTACCATGACGTTGTTTATTATGTTATCACAATCTACAACAAGAAACTATCGACACGGATATATTCAAATATATAAACTTGTATTATATAACTTTTATACTAAGTGTCCTTCACAAATATTCATTATCTAAGAATTACACATGCATTCTATAAAAGTAAATAAAATAATGCGTCATCATCAAACATAATGAAAATATATAAATCCTATACATGTACACGAGTAGATAATTCTAAATTATGAATTATTTTTTTAATCATTTATGCGTTTATATATTTGTCTTTCTTTTTTTTTTTTTCTTGAAATATTATACCGCAATCATTTTGAAATTCTACAAATTTTCATCTTAGCAAATATAAAAATCAACGAAATATATCTACTCTCTAACGCTTTATTATAATATTACAAAAATACTTACATATTAATGGGTGTAATAATTAAAAACACGTAATCGGTTATCTCGCCCAATATTTTTTTCGTCTTACGTCTAAATTATTTCGATCGAAATAAATAAATCATTGAAAATAATGAGAAGGGAAAGATGTTTATTTAAAATAAGCCCGTGGAGACAAACAAAGTAATCTCAATTAAAAATAATACATATTTATCGTTATATTCTACACACACACGCAAGAATCGTGGTAATAAAATTTATACTTTTTACTCTTCGAATCATTGAGAATATTTCATTGAAATTATACAAACAAATTTATGCGATTATTACAAAAAGCGGCAACTCTTTAAACATTGTATAAGTAGGAATATTATGTACAGATTCCTGTATTTCTTTCTGAAAAAGATAAATATATACACATAAAAATCGAAAATTATACTTCGTCCACTCTCGCATGCGTTTTATTCGAAAATTGTATTCCTTCTTTCCTTAAACATCATCATAATTGTAATAAAACATTGTCTTTTATATAAAAAATGAAGAAATAAATTGAAGTTATAATATAAACATATACATAGATATAAAGGAATATATCTTAAAAGATTACATTAACAAGATACATACATAAGTATAACAAAATATTAGTAACAATATCATTTTTTTGTCTAACTAATAATTTTTAACGATTAATGCACAGATATAGGACTAAAAGGATAGCGAATTAATATTTGATTTCTTATATCTAAGTTTATTTAGAAAATATACACTAATTACTCTAATATTGTTTATAATATAATAATTATATTGATAAAACTAGGTAGAAGAAATCTTTTATTTCTTTGAATAAGTTTGTACATATTTTCGTTAACAATTAAATTTATCGATTATGTACTATATATAATCTTTCTCGTATAGAAAAAATTTCGAATATGACGCATTTGGGTGATTTTACAGAAGGCATTGCAAATATTGTGAAACTTTGAATTGTGGTAACATTATATGGTATATTATACTATCCTACGCTTAGCTTAAATAGATTTTTCTTATTATTTCTTATAAAATATGTCACACTCTCTTCATACTTCTTTTAACATTCTCACAATTTGAATATATAATTATCTAAATTCTAATTTATAATCAACTTTACGTATCAGGTAAAGACATTTCTTCATTTAAGAAATGTCTTTCGCTGTACAATATTTTTTTTTTGTTTTTTTTTGTTTTTTTTTTTTTAAAGGAAGAGCAGATAACAAGATTTTGATAATCATTAGTAAAAGTATTATGCACTTTACTATATATTATAATTTTGTTTGATAATAAGTATAAACATATTTAGCCAAGTTATCTGCCTCTTACCAATTTTTTATCTTTTAAAATTTATATTTTAATTATAATAGGGTCAATTGTGTTCTTATGTCAACCCTAATGATTCACCACGTATATTTTTAAAATGCAAGTGCTTATATTACAACACAGATAGTTACATGACATTATTTTTTACTTCATTGCAATAATGAAAAAAATGTTTGCTTTTGTTTTTTTTTTTCTTTTTTTCTTCTTTTTTTACATATTACTTTATATAACTAATTCGATACCTTTTAAATTGTTCTATAGGAAAAAATTTAAGATGATAATTAATAATGTATTATTTTAAAACAACAAAATTCAGAAAAAAAAAATGCTAGTGTAATTTTAAAACATACTATTAGCATTTTTTTTTTTTTTTTGAAATATATAGACAGAGGAATTACACTGGATTACAGATACATTTAACATGCTACATAAGCAACTGAAGTATATATTGTTTTTTTATGTTATTTATTTTATCATAATTTGTAAATTTACATGTGATATCATTAATTCTCTCATATATATTTTATTTTGCAAAATCAATAGATCGTTTCTTGTATTATCTTTAGAAAATGGTATTAAATAAAAATATTTTTTTTTTCTCTCGCAACTCTGATCATTCTCTATGACATTTGTACCGAACATTTTATAAGAGGCTTATATTTTTGCCTATATTATTTGTTTATTTGTTTTTTTTTTTCCATTTTCTTCTTCTAAATTTTATACAATTTAATTGTATACAATGATAAAGATAGTTTTTCTTTTTCTTTTTACAACCTTCCCCCCCCCCCACTCCCACACACACATCAGCATAATAAAAAATAATTTTGTATAAACACAGGTCCAAGAATAATTTATTCATTGCCATGTTCTTTGTACACCATTATTGTGATATGGAGAAAGTTTAAACATAATGGGTATTTTAGTCCTTAATTTTTGTTTCTGTGTGACAAAATACAACAATATTCGTTTAAAAATTTGTCTCTTAAAATATAAATATAGATTATTACCAATTATTAGTTTTGCATAACTCAATTATGAGATATGTACATATTTACATTGTTTCCTTTATAATAATAATAATAATAATAATAATAATAATAATAATAATAATAATAATAATAATAATAATATTAGTAATAATAATAATAGTAATAATAATAGTAATAATAATAATATAATAATAGTAATAATAATAATAATAATAATAATAGTAGTAATAATAATAAATGGTTAAAGATTGTTGCCATAAAGCTAATCATGTAATGTATCCATACATAGTAATATTCCTCTTTAAACATTTGTTATAAACCCGTTATAAAAGTAATAATTATACTATTCATATCGATTATATGTCAATGTAATTATGTTAATGCACTTGCAGAATTAGAACTACGTTTAATTGATAATACAGTAATCCCTATATGTGTGTATACAGAGAAATCGCGTAAACGGAACCATAAAAATCATTTGAAATGACCCATTCCACATTCTCAATTATGTATACAGTTCTTACTAGAGTAAAAATGTAAGTTTACGCAATTAGGAAATAAAATACACTAAGGACTTCCCAAATTTACGTTTACCTATAACACATCGTGATGACATTAATGCTCTGGTAGTTCAAACACATTAAAATGAATCCATATAATAAATGGAGGGATTACTGTATATGTAAATAAATATATGTATATAAATAATATAATATATTTATATACATATATTATTGATATATTTAGTGATATTAACTATGATATAATAATATTAAATTTTGTAAAATGATTTTTTTTTTTTTACTTTTCTGCACATCTTTCAACGCACCATTATTTTGTATAGTAGATAATTTAGAATTTCGATACCATTATTCATTTGTAAAATCCTTCAAATTGTTTTATTGTATTGTATGTATTGTTGAAGCATTCGAAAGCATATCATTTATTGCTATTTATGCAATATTTCCTACAAAAACGTACACGTTGCAAGATAATGAAACAAAAACAAAATAAAAAATAAATGAATGTATTATTGCTACTCGTTATTTTTTTTTATTATTTTTTTTTATTTTTTTTTTATCTAGAAATATATATTTTCTACTTGTGTTGATGGGACGACTGTTGGACATCTGTAGTAGCATTCTGATTGGGATAAGAATATGTCTGTGTATATCCTTGCCATCTTTGTGGATGATTATACTTAGCCTCTGAATCCTCAGAGATTTCTGTTACACTTGTGCTTATCTGTAAATATGAATATTCATATATATCTCATATATATATACACACATATACATATATATATATATATATATATATGTATATTTAAAGTATATCATTTCAAATCTATTACGTTCAAAAATCATTATCGATGCACGCTATATTTGTACGATAAATTTAAGTAAAGCCAATTATTATCATCTAGAAAAGAAATAAATTACTCGTTATAATAAGCAAGCTATTTAAAAAGTGGACAAAAACAAAAATACAAAATAAAATATACACGTTAACAAAAAAAGAAGATTTACTGAATAATATCCACCATGGTTTTTATAAGCAAATAATCTTAATACATTTTAAAAACGAATATTATTTTATGCATATAAAACACTTACTTTTCAAAGTGTAGTTTTAAAAAATATCTCATTACTCATAAGTTCAATTTTTGTTTGTGTACAAGATTATTTAGTCTATAATATATACCATTAGTGTTTGTACAGTTTTATCTTTTGTATTTTAAATGAGAATCAGAAAGTGAGGTAGAGTGAGTGGTCCTTTTTCTAGAAAATAATGTATAGAGAATATTGTGAACTTATTCAAATTTTTGGATTTTTCTTTTTTCTTCAAAATACGTGTAGCAATATAAATATTATTTTTTAAAACTCCGTCAACTTCTTTTATACATATGTTATATAAACACAAAAAGAAAAGAAACTAAGTTTTAGATATGCGATCGTTCTCTTCGTTGATATACTTATCACAGTCATTTTAATAATTTTTTTTATATGTAATGTGCAATATGTAACATCTCGAATTATGCTATTTTTTTTTTAGCACACTCCTTTAACTCCATGTTTAGAAATCTAAAAGTAATTCGTCAGTGTAAGACGAAATATTTTGTTCAGCTAATTAAACTAGTTACATATAAGATAGTAAATATGTGAATAATATAGCAAAACAGTATAGAAACAAGAAATATTGAAAAGAAGGCATCTATACCTTACTTTCTGTTCCACTCTGGTAACATTTACTGTGCTGGGATTATTGTTTGCTTACAGCTTGGCTACCAGCTGCAGTTGTCTGCCCACTTGACTGTTGCGGATCCCAATACTGATTATAATACTGTTGGTTCCAATTTCCATTACCATAACCTTGCTGATTGTAACTACACTGGCTGTACGATGATCCTCCTTGGCCATAACTCTTCCAACTGCCTGATTGCTGTTGACCTGCCCATCCTCCTCCTTGTACCCACCCTCCTCCTTGAGATTGGCTGCTACTGGACCAACTACCACCACCACCTGGTTGATTCCATCCTGATGATTGTGATCCTTGGTAACTACTAATAACCAAAGTAAAGATTAAGCAATTAACGTTTATATACATATATTTATATATTTTTTAAATAGATGATATAACAACAACGATTAGATACATTGTGTAAATTAAAAACATCTTATACCTAGCTGAACCCCATCCACCACTTTGTCGTGCTACAGATCGATTTCTATCATTTCCACTTCTTCTGTCATTATTTCCACCTCTCCTATCTCCTCCACGATGTGGTGGGATAAGCATACCACCCCTGCTTCTCCAGGTGCTTGGAGGACCATATCCTCCACTATGTCTCATATGACCTCCTCTAATAGATCTGTCTCTCCAACTTCCCATACTACTACTACTGCCACCGCCACCACCACCACCACCGCGCCACATGGAATTACGATTTCTATTTGGGTCTGCAAAAAGTATAAATGCATAATCAAATTATATTATTATTATTATTATCATTATATGAGAAAACGGGGAAAGAATAAAAACAAAACTACTCACAACTACTTCTTCTGTCACGATGATCCCGATGATCTCGACTATCTCGACTATCTCGACTATCACGACTATCACGACTATCTCTACTATCACGACTATTTCGTGAATCACGGCTGTCTTTATGACCTTCATTTCTTGGTCGTTTACTGCTAGATTGTTGTTGTCCGTAACCAGCTTCCTTTCCTTCCTTGTTATACTTTTCTATTAATTTTTTACCATCTTCTTTATTAAGTTCGACCCAATTAACTTCATTGAAAGATTCTCCAACTTCTGGAGCACTAAAATTGGCTATAAAATTGAACATTTTAATTAGACAACTTGTATATACATGATGTATACACATTATTCGATAATATCTATTACATATATCCTTTTAAATGTCGTAACAGAAAAATGATTATTAACAATTAGAAACAAACCTTTCATTTCCATGACTACTGAATCAGGAACAGCCTTTCCATCAATTGCTTCATGTTTAGCAGTGCGTGCTTTGAATTCTTCATTTGTTGGTACTACAATTATTGCCCTACGTTGAAATCCACTGAAATTCTTCATTTTTCGTCTTTGCGCAGAAGGATATACATTTGTCTATATAAGTTTCATAAAAAAGAAATATAAAATATAAATGTTACAATAATTATTAATGTCTTGTAAATACAGATATATCAATTACATCTTTCAATTTCATTGATGTATATTTATCTCTCACCTGATCTAAAATATAATTACGTCTTCTACTGCATGCCATTTCTAATAATTTGTTTAATGTACGAGTACACTTTTCAATAAGTACTTCCCATCGACCATGATAGTTTTGTTTCCGTGGTTGACCCATATTCTAAATAAACAAAATTTTCAATTATTAATCTTATGAATGATAAACACAACGAATAAAATATTTATATTTTAAGAACGTACTTTCATTTTATCAACGAGCGTGCTTATTCCCAAAATATTGTACATTTTTTCTGGGTATTGCGCTGCATATTTTGTCGCCCATACTGTTTTTCCAGCTGCAGGTAAACCACACATCATTAGAACTTCGCAATCTTCTTTCTTTTCCGGTCTTCGTGGTCCTGGAGTTCTATCTTTGAGATCAATGTTACCCACTACATTATATCCTTCCAAAATATCTTCGCACCATGGTTTTTCTTGACCAAAATTACAAGTAAAAGTACAATTTTTACTTAAAACATGTGGAAATAATGCTTTATCTCCAAGCTCTTCTCTAGGTATGGAAAATGCAGTTCCTAAATCTTTTCCGTTCAGTGTATATGATAATACAACGTTATTTTCAAGAGACATGTCTGCATAACATCCAATAATGTCATCCTTAGTAAATTGAGATCCATAATCTTCAAACTTATTTTCTGTACATTTCTTTCCTGTCGCGCTATAACCGTAACTTAATTTGTCTTCGCCAAGTTGCATAGAAGTATGAGAAGCAGACCATCCTACACGAAGTACGTGCGAATATTCTTCGTCTTGCGCATTAATGGAACAGTGATCAACGATTTTAGCTTCGTAATAAATTTTCCCACTTTTGTAGCCATGAGATGCCCTAGCTCCTGCCCATATATAGCCAAAACCATCGTTGTGCATCGGCGTAGCAGATAGAAAATTATTTTTTTCAATAAGTAGATTTAAATCTGAATCATCTGCAAACATCATAACATATAATCAATTAAATTTTCAATAAAATATTAAAAATGATATATTAGGTGGTTCGGAAAGTCGTTTCGTTTATCTTTTGTAAAAATGAAGATAATTTTTGCTTCGAGGTTAAACATAAACCTTTCAAGTGATCATAAATAGTTAAATTTGATAAATTTAACCTCTCATCGATCTCATGTGTTACTATTTGTCGGTTTGCATTAACTAATGCCATTATTGCGTCAGCAAAAAACGAAACGACTTTCCGAACCACCTAATATAATATGATATGTACTAAGAACATTAGAAATGTTAATAACTTACACCAAGAGAGAACAACAGCATTATCATCAATTTCAGGTTCATTTTCTGATAAAGGCGATGAAGGAGATTTTGGCAATTCTTCTTGAGGACTAGAAGATCTTTTACGTTTTCTGTCATTATGATCCATATTCCAGTCTTTACTACCTTCCTTTATGTTTTCTTCACGTTTAACTTCTACCATTTCTACGTCCTATAGTAAAAAGACAAAAAATGAAAATTCAATTATTAACAAACCAATAAATCCATTACAAGATAAAATAAGAAATTAAACATTCATATTAAATTACCTGGTCACCTACGGATGCATCATTACATGCATCTTCAGTTATTACCTTAGTATCTGATAATTGTCGATCATCTTTATCTACCTTTGTTTCTTCTTCATTCTTAATATTTTTGTTATCTTCTGATTGTACTGTCTCAGATTCTTTTTGATTTTCGCAAATAACTGAAATCGGTTGTCCTACTGGTTTTTCTATTGATAAATCTTTATCCTCTTTCTCAGTTACATGTTCTATGGTTTCTATATTTTCTTTCATTTCGACATCACAGTCCACATCGGAAACATTATCTTTTGATTGATTATCTATTACACTTTTTTCTACATCTTTTTGTGATTCTTCATTCAATGCATTTTGAATACTTTCATCTGTTGATTCAACATTCTTCAAATTGCTTTCATTATCAACAGTTTCATCCTTTTCCATCTCAACATCAGGTTGTTCTTTTTCGTTCATTTGTTTTGTCTTATCTTCAGATTTTTCACTAGAATCTATTGATATCTCGGAAGATTGTTCCTCAGCACGTTCCTTTGCTTCTTGTACCGATGAATCTGTTACTGGTTCATCTTCTGATGAATCTTTCAATAACGTTTCTTCTGATGTCTCTTTCAATAGTGCATATTCTGAACTGTCTTTCAATAATGCATCTTCTGGATTATCTTTCAATAATGCATCTTCGTCCATATCAATTTTTAATAAATTATCTTGTTCTTTTTTATCTTCGCTCGAGTCTTCCTTAAGATCTTCTGAAGTAGACATTTGTACCTTTTCCTGTGGAAGCGTTGTTGGTACATCTTGTTCATCTTCTTCGTCTTCCTCTTCATTATCCTTTTGAGGAGGAGGAGGAGGAGTTTTTAAATCTCTTTCAGTAGTTATATCATCTTCTGGAATTTGTTCAGTAGTAGTCAATAAATCTTTAGTTTTCTCCATATCTTTATTTGACATAGATGTTTTAGTAGATACTGTTGTCGTTAGATGCTTTGGTGTACTTCTGGTACTAATTTTTGTCGGTGTCAGGGATGAACTTCTAGAAGAACGACTTGGTGTTTTTGGCGGTTGAACTGATTTCTTACTCGCTTCCTTCAAAGCGGTATCATCTACACTTTCTGTATTTTCAGTCATCTTTTGTTCGGGTTCTAAAATATAAATAAACATTTTTATAATTAATGATTAAAATGTAGAAAATAAATAAATATCTGCATAATGCAAATAATATTACATTTAAAAGCGACACGATATTAATAAATACAATTTAAAAATGACTAGGCTATAACAATGACTAATGTTAAATGTTAAATGATAGAAAATGGAATATTTATTCAGTATAGAAATGTTGTTAATAATATAAAAATAATAAGAGATATTATAATGTACATTACAAGTTAATCGATAAGGATGTTTACGAAAGGGGTGAGGAGAATGGTGGGAAAGCTTGTAGATGTAAGTTGTTTACTGTTTCAAAGGCAAAACTTACTGTTTTCCGTTTCCTCTTCCAACGCCTTCCTAAGTCTCTCAACAAGAACCGCTTTGTTGCCCTTCGTGTCAAGGCCACGCTGAGACAGCTGCACTCTTAACTCAACGACTTTTAATTTAGCTGGATCCATAGCGTGTATTATCCTAAGAATTTAGACGATTGAATCACTTTTACTTCACTAAATATTCACAAGAAGTCCCATACACGCGCCAGTGACCCGCGCTACATATACAATATGGCGGTTATGACTGCAAACAACGCGTTACGTATGATCAGTGGATTTTATTGGTCAACGTAACACAAGATATTATAGAACTGCTAACTTCACGGCTAATGGAAATGCTTGTCATTCAAATATTTAGGACAACTCTAACTCTTATTGGTCTATACAAGGCGGGATTTATTCCTATTGGCTGATACCGTTGGATTGCGCCTTTCTACGAAAGAGAACGAACTAAGCGACAAATTTTAGATGATATCGTTATACATTCTCGATATATTGATAAATAAACCTAATACCAAAAATCGAAATCGATTCTAGTCGATTATTATAATTGACACGTACGTGCATATAACAATTACATATGTATAATATATATATATATATGTTTATATACATGAATATATTCTAGCGTGATGTTTTTTACTATTTACATTTTGTATTTTTATGTAATTGACATAAAATTTAATTTATAAGTTTTTAATATGTGATATTATATTATTTAGTGTATTTATGTATATACCTTTTTAGGAATTGAATTATACTATTTAATATCATCATGAATGCAATAAATATGAACTGGTTAAGCTCAGCTGAGGGTGAATCTTTAATGCATCATTTTTACATTAATTCATCAAAAAAGAGACGATTTTATGGTAAATGATTATTTTACATTTTTTTATATGAATTTCTTTTCATTTATTTTATAGTATAACTCTTATCGATGATTCTCAAGATTTTATATAAAATATCTTACACTTTAAGGTATCTTGGAAAAACCATCATTGCCATCTTCCATCGAGGAAGTTACTTATAAAATTTTTATGATTGGTAGATCAGGTGTAGGAAAAACTTCTGTCATAACACGTTTAGCTGGTTTTCCAGAACCTAATAATTATATTGAAACTAATGGTATCAAAAAAACCAATGTTTTTTGGCCGGTGAAAATCTGGGATAAAGTTATACTATTTAAATTACAATTCTGGGATACATCAGAGAGCAGTATTAAAAAATATAATCACATCTTACCAGTACATCTATATCTGCATTTTAATCAAAATATGAAAAATTTGGTTTATATATAAAAATATATTTATATATATATATATATTTTTTTAGGCATGTAAAGATAAAGTAGATGCAGTATGTTCTGTCTTTTCCTTCGATGATGTAACGAGTTTTAACGACATACCTTATCTGATAAACACGATGAGTACGATCAAAGAAAAACCAGCGAATATAGTAATCGGCACAAAGTAAGCTTATATAAAAAAAACAATATTTATTATATGTAGTAATTATTTAAGTACAAACAATCATTATTTTTATTGTATTCAATGTTAACAGATTTAAGCCATGGTCAAATTCGATGGTAGAAGAAACTCAAGTTAAAGAATTCGAAGATAAGTGGAAGGTGAAAATTATTAAAATTGATTCGAATAAATTAACAAACAGATCAGAACTCTTTGACTGTTCTTACCAACTTAATACTATTTGCAATATTTTGTGGAATAGAGATAAAGAATTTATATCCAAACAAATTGTTCAAAGTTGAAAATTGTTGTTACTTATTTTTTTATAATTTTAATTATATTTAATTTAAAAGTCATGTAATTATTAGATTGATCAATCATGATTTATGAAAATTAATATCTAATCATATCATAGCCATCATGACTACATTTTGACATTTACACAGGAGCATTGGTAATGAATGGAAGTGTTATAGTTCAAGATGGTTTTGAATTTTTAAATGAAAAATAACAAATTTTTCTCTTCAAATTATATATATAAGACTGTGTAAGATTATATGTATATAAAAGACTGATTAATATATAAAGAAAGTTAGTTTTGACTTAATTTTAATATTTTGATAAAATATACACTGTGTACACTAAAAGTATATTTTCTTGTATATGTTTGTATTTAAATATGTAATAAAAACACGTCGTTTTAAAATTATCTTACACATAGAAGTTATCAAGGATCATAAATGTAAACAATACAAATGATAAAAATTGTTTATCATACTCACTCAAGATTATTAGTTCAAATTTAATTAAGTCACATTACGTTCAATATAATATTTCACTTGTATTATAATTTTAAAAATAATTGAATCTCCAAAACATTTATTTCTACTAGAATATTTCGTTTAATTATAACCTGAAAAAATAATCTGAATACAACAGAAATCGATAATCGATAATTTTTAATAGTAACCTGTTTTACCATTGTAGTATCGACCATTTATTGTGAAACATTTTCGTTATATGTGTATGTAACGTGACTTTTTTGTTTATAAAATAAATTAGATTATTATGACTTTTATGAAAGAAATATTCGAAGGTACTAAAATAATTCTTCTCAGTGATCTTTTTTAAATATAAATATTGTGAGCAAAGTAAAAGATTATAATCTATAGGATGGATATTATTATTTGAATTTTAACAGTAACAAGTTTAAAAATAGTTTGTTGAAAAAATCAAAACTATGTAAATTTATTGTCTTTCATGTAATTCTATCCATTCTATTAGGTATTATAATTATATAAAGTATCAGAAATAAGAAGTGAAATATAGGATCAGTATAATTTATAATAATAAATATATAAAATGATTATATTTGCAATTACATCAGTGATTAGAAACATAACAAATGCTATTGTGTCAAAATTGAGTAGGGGTAAATATACAGCGTGCAATATGACACTTGTTAAACAATCTTTAACTGTCAACAATTTGGTGATATATTCTATCATAGCGAGTGTTATTATTACTACTTCTAAATATTTGTGGAAAAAATATAAAAGATTCTCCGAATTAGATAAATCTATTGATGTAAAAGAAAATCTTCCTGAATTGAATCATTCGCTGAATAATGAATTTATAATGGAAACATTATTTTTCACGGAAGAATCAGATTTATGTCGAATGCATCTAGGTATTAAGGATCATTGTGAGAGATTAAACTGTTCTGTGGCCAGTTTAAAGTAAGACCAAAGAATGATTAAGTTTTCTAATATACAATTTTATAATAGTTTCCTAGTTTTAAGTATACGCTTATACAGAACAACAAGTGTTTTAACGTATATTATATTTTCATATTGTCCTTGTGGCAAAGTAATTTCAAAGTTTATTTTTAATAATTTTTCAGTAAGCTAAAATATTATTTGGAATCTGCTAAAAAGACTATACATGTATGTATGTATTTAATTACTTTGGATGTATTGGCCAATGCTATTATAACAGCACATGAACGTGGAATTGTGATTAAAATTATATCTGATAATTTTGTGAACAGGTCAGACTTTAGTCAACTTATAGCATTCCGTAAAGCATGTAAGTTAAGCGAATAATAATGGGAATGTTTGACAAGTATCAATCAAGTAATCGACAAGAATTAATTAATCGCGATGAAAAAATTTCTTATCTTATGTTTTTTATATGTTTCATACGACATCTGAATATGTCACAAGAAGTCCTTAAAACATTTACATTTACAGGTATTAAGGTTAGAACTAGACAATCTACTAGTCTTATGCATCATAAATTTGTCATTATCGATAATAATATTCTTATAACTGGAAGCGCTAATTGGACTATGCAAGCATTATTTGGAAATGCAGAGAATATTATAGTAACCAATCATCCCATATTGGTTGAAAAGTTTGTTAATGAATTTGACAATCTGTGGAAAATATTTAATCTGCCAGTAACAAATTTGTAATAATTGAGAAGTGTAAAAGAATGACGATTGAAAGTTGAAGAAAACGTAATAATAACAACGATACCTAATAGTATTATGATTAAATTTAGTTTGCTTTAACGAAGGAAAATACGAATTTTTTTAATTTTATTATAAATAGTACTTGCATTTTGATTTGATTTTTTTTTTATTGTAAAAACAGAGTTTAAATATATATATGTATATATATATATATATTTTTAGTAATTTTTTATTTCACGTTGTTACATTTAATATAATATTTGAATGAATCTTTATTCGTTTATATGTGCTGTTCAAACATCTTGGGTTTTTATGTTCGTTACAGTACTAATTGTAAGCCAAAGTAAACTTTAGGGGAGTTACCATGACGATCGTGACGTCACATGCTATCACCCTACGTTATTATTCGCATTATACTTTCTCTTCTTGTATTTGTAATACTTAAGACTTTAGTCGCCATGTTAATTGAATTATTCTTATTTAAAGCTGGTGTGTACATGATCACGATTAAAACCAAAGAGCATAAGAGTCAAAGATCAAATTAAATGAACATTCAAAAGTTCTAATAATATTGTTTTCGATTACGAACAAAAAACGAATCTCGATAGACGTTTAATTACTTGACTTCGATTAACTTTAAACGTGACGTCATAGCTGAACTATGTCATGCGCAGGATCAGTTAAAGTTTTATAGATAATAATCATCAAGGAATTTAATGACATCACAACAGGATTTATTCCATAATCGTATACGCATTACCAAATAATCATTTCTTTTTTCATGTTATTCATTTGCAGGTAATTCTTATGCACTTATTCATCCTTAATATTTCTCAAGTTCTCGGCTTTTTATTGCGTCTCGTTATACTTATTCGAAAACAGGATATACGAATTAAGTGAAACGAGTCGAGCTAAGTGGTTTGCATTTTCATTAAAATCTAATATTAGATGAAGTTAAACGCCGCGCTCAACTGTGAATTCATAAAAGCGGATCATAAAATTGTCAAATGACGGGAAGTTTTTTTTATGGAAAGTACATTTCTAATGCAGTAGTAGTAGTAGTAGTAGTAGTAGTAGTAGTAGTAGTAGTAGTAGTAGTAGTAGTAGTTTTATAACGTGTGTGCAGTCGTTGATGATAGAGCTGTGAAAAGGAGTTGTGTTTATTCTGAAGGTTTCAAAACAAAAACAAAAAGAAAATTGAAAAAAATATGTAAAGGAAAGAAAAATAAGGAGAAACGAGCAAGGATTTTGAAACATTGAGAAGTTTTTGAACATTCAAAGAGAAGTGTATTCCAAAGCTTGCAATATATTACGAATTACAGGCTCACTACATACAGTATCAATAAAAAGTTTGGAATTGTCAAGTAAATCTCATCTAAGTAAATTATCTCACTGGAAATGATAGTTGATGATGCATCTGGAATGTTTCTAGAATTACCGTACCGTAAAATGGATACTGTGGGATTTAAAGGAACTTTAAAAATCGAGAAAGATCTGTTGAAACCACGTGCGTTCTAGAAGTATATATATGTATATATGTGTATATAATTGTGTATATATGTATGTATGTATATGTACATCGTGGTGGGGTAGCAATCTTACAAGGCCTGGAATAGACGTACTTGACATTGCTTTAACGTTCTATTATACCTTGTCCGTGGTCTTCTCATTGGTAAGAGGAAGACACGAATAAGCACGAGTCGACACTTTTCTTTCTTTTCACGATACTTTATTTAGTATGTACTGTACTCACGTACGTGAGAAATCAACCTTAGTTGATGATCCAAATACAATAGCGAAGCAACATCATCTTTCACTGTCTTACTTAGCTCAAATTCGTTTAAAAATAACAATCAATGTTGTTTGTTATTTATATATATTTTATTTAATACATTTTATATATATATATATATATATATATATATATATATATTGTTTTTATCGGAAATTTAATTCAATCGGTATATGTCAATAATATTTTAACGAATTATTGGATTGATCAGGAAATTCCTGTTGATTATTAAATTTTTCTTAAAATCGGCATCAATTCTTCAATTCAAATCTACCAATGGTATAAGCATTGAGGTTGCTAAAAAGAAATATAATGTAAATAAATATATGAAAAATATTAATAGAATATCAATTTATAAATCTGCATGAACTTACCGAGCAATCTAATATCATATCGATAATTCAATAATCTTGCGTTAAACGTCGTTCATATATATTTTTATCAATTTGATGTGAAAGAAATATCGGTTACAAATAAGTGTCAGTAACTCTAAAAACAAACTCTTTTTTTTTACAGGAATCTTAGGAAGTAATAGAGTAACGTTAGACTGAAGTTTGTCTTTGGGGGTTGAATTTTCCGAACGTGTGTACGTACATATATATATATATATACTTACATAGGTTACTTATATAGGTTCACGAGCGCGCTACACCTGCGATCTTAATTCCGTCGTGGTTCGCGCGTATTGATTGCGTATTTTTAGATCTGCCAGCGGCAACCCTGTCGTCGTCAAATATTAACTCGACTCCCAAAATAGAATTCGCCCCGGTATGAGAAGCGACAGAAGACCTCCCACCCCAATCAAACCCACTCTACCACCCTTTCTTTATACATATATCTTCCCCCACATTCTACTTTCTTCTTGCTAGACAGCACAAAGATCAAGAATGAGGGGGAAGATGCGGAGGAGAGGGTTGGACGTACGTGTGAGGGTTGCTTTCACTCTTTTTTTTTTTTTCTCAAGTGTTCAACTGCAGCTCAAAGAAAAGGGTAGAAAAACCTTACTAATTCGTTTCGTATTAAAGAAAGAAAAAAAGGAAAAGAATCGAATTATTTTTCTTTTGGCACGTTTCATATATATGTATTGTTGTCATATACATGTGAACGCATACATATGTAAATACAGGAACACGCGAAAATGCAATTTCATGTCTTTACGTCGTCGCTAATTTCGGAAGTCATGGAGTTTCAAGTGCGTCACCTGGGAGTTACAAAAAGAAAGAAAGAAAGAGAAAAGAGACAGAGATTTATATGTACGCCAAGACAAATCCGTTCCATTTTCTTTTTCCAACGGGGGAAAAATCGTTAAGAAACTTTTCGAAGAATACTATATGCCTAACGAAACTTTCTATCGAATCTTGGCGTTCGTTGTTTAGATTTTCGGAATATCAACATTATATTATTGTCTATATTTTCGTTAGAAAATCTTACCATTGTAGTGATATTATTAAATTTCATTTAAACAAAGACAATAGTTCAAAGTGTTTATAAGATAGGGGATGATATTAACTCTCTATAATTGAATTATTTTTTCAGATTTTGAATAAAAAGGTTTTCAGACATTTAGCTTTTACGTTATTTACTTAAACGTGTATTTACAGATAAATGATTTAAGTATCAAGAAACTAGATCGCTTGGTGACAGGGAAGTCCTCCTCTATTAAATAATCTACCTTTCATCCACCTACGCACGTCAACGATTTCCGAAGAACGATTATCAATCTTCCTGGCATTTCCATTGGTCACGAATGACTCGGAGATTTTGGCAGCGGATAATCCTACTCGTGCGTTACAACCCTCGTCTTCTTCCAGACTGGTTTTAAACCAACGACAGGTGACATGCTTTAGTACTCACATGGCCCACTTTCGGCCAAACAAACTTTATAATATCAAATTTGATAGTCGTATTGAGTCAAAGTTATCCTTATGGTTTTCTATACAACTGAGAATTCTATAAGTTTTTGAATTCATGGTAATCAATCATATTTGAAATATTGCGAATTAATCGTTTATTGTTTGTCACAGGACATTTGCTTGGAAAAGTTCGAAACTCGTAAACAAGAAATTTGTAGAAAGTTAAAAGATTTGTGAAAAGTATTGCAAGGAAATTCGAAGAAATATATTTGGCCATTAAATTTCCAAACACGATGATATATAACCAGATTCACAGAGAGAGAGAGAGAAAGAGCACGCGGCGATGTCTTCAACATCGAATTGTGCAATAAACGTTACCCTCGTTCGTATACGTTCCGGTTTATGTTTCCTCTTTCCTGGGAGCACCGCGTGTTTTATTTACATTTTATGTCGAAATTATCGAAAGGTGTTGAAACGGATTCGACGTTTTTAGATTTTCGAATGATTACTGGACTCATAAGTTATCGGAAAGATTATAAGCAACTTAGTCTTTTCATATTCAGGAGGTCATTGACCATTTTCTTGGTCCAAAGAACTTTTCGCGATACCACATTATATTCAAATTTAAACAAAATTTATTTCAAACAGGGGGATCAAGATAAAGTCGAATCTTCGATATCCGAACTTCATTAACGGATTTGAAACTGAATTTTCTAAAAACAAGAAAGTACGATTTTATCTGTTACGAATGCATTCTCGTAACGAGCTAGCACAGACAACGAAGAAGCTTTCCCAGATCCAAAAATAAGAATACGTACCGGTCCACCTGCCTTCGATTTTTGTTCGTTTACTGAGTGGTGGACCTGTACATTTTTAGAATCATACAGTTGTAGAGAGATAACCAGTTTGGTCATCGAACTTTATCTTTTGCTTGTCTGAAAGTTGTTCGAGTAAAAGCGAGGATGAAAAAGAAGTAGAGAGAGAGAGAGTGAGAGAAAGAAGGGAACAAGAGAATGTCTTCTATCTTGTTCAATGCTTTGAAGAAATAGGGAGGAAGAGAGAGAAAGCTTGTGTTTACGCCGTTGGATTATCGTCTTTGTCGCCATCGTCGTCATCGTAGTCTGCACCACCACCAACCACCACCAACCACCATCACCACCACTATTTCGACTGACGTCGTGTTCGTCGTTACGATCACGTTTCTTCATGTTGCATGCAGGAGGTAGAAAAAGAAATAGAGATAGATAAAGAAAGATAGAGAGAGATAGAGAGAGAGAGAGAGAGAGAGAGAGAGAGAAAGATAGAGAGAGAAAGAGAAGGGTGTTTGAACCCTGGGCCGTGGTTGAACGGCCTTTAAGTTTTCTCGAGTCCTGGCCGAGCATCGTTCTACCTCTAGCAGCTCCTCCCTAACCGTCCCACCACTTCCCCGAACCTGGCACGAGCGCGTCCTGAAAGAGGCGGCTCTTTGACGTCAGAGGGAATCGGCCAACGTCGTAAAACGAGACCACAGCCACCGAACCGAAATACA